TGATCCCATCGTTTTTGTGGTGCCAGAAACAGGGGGGTGCCAGGAAGTGGGTATGTTGACTTATACCGAAAGCCCCGTTCAAGCATGGTGCACATCGAATACTGACGGAAGGCATATCTCCGGATTCGCAAGCGTTTGGTGGCCTCGAGAAAGCCCGTGTGAAGGAGAGTGAGGGGACGGGAGGATGAAACAGGATATGGCTAGCAACTCAGAATCAAGGAAACAGGCCTAGAACAGGTAAAGGCAGCTAAGCTAGAGCTTTCGTGGAAGTTGAAGAATACGAGGTGCTGCGACTTTGCGGAATAGGCTCTTCATGACATACTCGCATTCTCGATGTGTACAAACGAACGCAAGGGACTCGGAACAGCACCGAACGGTACTGCAAGTACGGACGGGACTCCGGTGGGATCTATCAAGCTTAACTCAAGTGTCCACATCTGCTTCATCTGGAGAAGCTGGAGGGGGGTTGCCGCTACGAAGTGGGAAGGTGACATCAATCTCCTTACCCCCAGTCATATGCTTAAGACAACGTTGACAATTCGCCGAATGAATCGCTAACCCTGATTGGTGCGCAATTCGATGCACTCTCGATAGCCAAGACTTTGGAACAACCGGGCCACTCACAGATGTCGATTATGGTCCCATGGAGGTAAGGTAAATCTTCTCGATCCTTTGGTGCCCGCGGGCACTTGCCCAGCTTCTGTGCGTGGAGTGAGCCTCCATGGCTTCGAGCGTTCACTGTCACGATGTTGCATCAGCCTTTGGTCATGATCTGGCAGCAACAATGGCAGCTCGCGCAGCCTAAATCTCTGTTCCGCTAATGACCGCCACAGGCATGGTAAATGCTCAAAAAGATCCTTCACTCCCAGTCATGACCAAACACGCTTGCACCACATGCCATGCAGACTATTCCAAAACGCCAGGCTCCCTATTCAATATATGAACAAATCATGGGAGACCCTTTCCAGTGCTGAGAGCCCACTTCTCCACCAATGCCCATAGTTCGGCGCCGCTCTCGCCAGATCCTCCATCGCTCTGGTCATCGTCGGCCAGAAGGGCCTTGATCTCATCGCGGTCCGGAACAGCGTAGCTCGGTGCCTTTGTCTCACTCTCCTGGATTGCCAGCCTCACCCAGGGATCGAGGTAAGGCCTCGCGGTGGCCGGAATGTCCTGCTTCATTGCCCAGGCCATGGCCTGCACCGCTTGAAGCAGGTACATTGACATTCGGACGACGCGCGCCGAGATACCGCCCATCATGCAGAGGCGGGTGAAGAGGTCATTTGTGGCAGCGTGGCCTTCGTTGAGGTAGGGCATGAGGTGTTGCATGGCCACAAACATGACGCGGGTGATGTACGAGTGCGTACAGTATCTTTGTAGGTATGACTCTGCGAGGGTTGTGTCGGAGATGCAGTGCTGAAGACAGAGGGACTTCACGGTTGTTGAGTGTGGGGTGAAGGGAGTGTCGAAGATGGTTGATGGGCTGAGTGACTGGAGGACAGCATAGGCTAGCTCGTTCTCATGCATCCTGATTGATGTTAGCATGATTCCCTGTTTCATTATCTCGCCGATGACGACCGGAATTGTTAAACTTGCCTCAAGAAGCAAGTTGCAGGAGTGAAGTTGTATTCTATTTGAAAGCGTTTGGGTAACGCTTCCCTGAACTCCTGCAATCTGCAATACCAGTGCTTCTTGCGCCTCAAATCTTCGATGCTTCCCTTGATGGTACTGCCAGACGTGAGGTACGACATTACATCATACTGAAGCCTCGCGAGATCAGATACAACCGTTGCAATTCCAGGTACGATCGGTATCAGGTTTGTAGATTCCAGATAGGGTCGACCGAGAACGTCGACGTTGCCCAGAGGCTCGAGTGCGTCGCGTCCGCAGTTGTCGAATAGCCTGGGTATTGACGGAGGTGGGATATCTGCGGTTGAATTGTAGAAATACGATACGCGGCTATCGAGGCAAAGTGTCAGTTTGATATTGGGGATTCTGACAGTTGGGTGGTTTCGTTGTGGAAGGGGGGTGCGTACCTCTCCATCAAGAAAATGGCCCACACAGCTTTCGAGATGACGAGCATTTCAATCGCATCGTTGGGATCGTCTTTGTTGAGCTGGGCGAAGCGTCGCTCCGGTTTGAAGCGTTTGTACCTTTCCCAGGCCATGAAGCGGTACATTTTGGCGCTGGCCTCGTCGCCTGCAATACTCGCTGACCAGTCCACGAGGACAAGGGCAAGGATTGTAGGGATTGACGCCCGGCCATGGCTCTTTTCCACCAGCTGCATAACCTCTTCCCGGAATTGCCTCGCCAGATCTTGACCTGTGTAGGTATGAAATTCTTTGACGGTTGCGACGAATGGCTTTCAGAGAAGTGTTAGTCACGATATGCTCTATTGAGATTGTAGGAAGTGCCGAGAAAAATGTGCAGAAGTGGGAGGACTTACAGCACGGACTGCACACATTGCGTTGACCAAGATAGGGGAACACCACTTGGCGCGCTTGATGTTTCCGGACCTCATGTCCTCGAGGAACAAGTCCTGCTCAATGGCGGGAAAGCAACTGGCATTGTCCCAGCTGAAAAAGTCGGTAATTAACTCGGAGACTATACCATCGTCTGCAACTGTGGTCCAGGGTTTTGCCGGCACGCGGAGGAGGCTGTTTTCCATTGCCCTTTCGTTGAGCTTTGCTAGACGCGAATCGCTCACGCGGTCATTGACGGGGAGAGAGGGAAGCAGAATTTCTGCTTGGCGGATGGATTCGAGGACTCTGAGGGGGTCACCAGACAGGCGTATACGGCGAAAAATCTCCTTTGCCTCGTCCTCGGATTTGGTGCAGACCATGCGAAAAAGCTCCCTGTACTGGACATTTTCGCTTTCGAGGTCGTTTGCCTTGCGCTTGAGCGCGAGACTGACGGTCTCGCCCTGGTTGGCCTCATAATGGCACTCGACGCCCCTTTTGGAGCAGTGTTGGCATTTTGGGCGATGGCCGTCGCACTGTGGAATCTCTCAGTCTCGGATCATGGTTGCCAACCCCCTCTCTTCCTCTCTTGTGAAGGGAGAGAGGAAAGTTTGCGTCAGTGATTGTTTTACTCACCTTTGCCTTTCTCCGGCGGCAGTTATCGCAAGCAACTGCAATAACCTGTCGTTTGGAAGCGGTCCTGGGCTTCTTGGCATCGGCTGAGGATGAGTCGATGCTCTGACTTCTGGACTGAAGATCGCGACTCGTGTCATTCCCGAACAACGGTTCCTCGCTACTCCCAATTCCTCCGGTCGATCCGCGTCCCGAGGCGGATGGCTGGTTAGACGGCGTTGCTACCAGTGATGATGAAGTTGATGGGAACGATCCGGAGGGTTGGGCGCCCGGTGCGGGTAGAATAACGCGACGACGCTTTGCGGGGAGCGACATGAGATTCAAGCTTGACCGCTTTGCCTTGTCCTCCCTCCCTGTTTGTCTTCTGTGTTTTTCCGTTTTTTGTCTTGATCCTTTCTTTTCCTGGGTTGATTTAATGGTCTGTTCCGGATGAGACGGTTGGCCGTGGCACTTTTTGCTGTTCCAGCGGCAGTTTGCTGAGGAATTTCACCTCAACCCCCAAAACGCATGGACCAGCTCTTTCCCCTTGTTGCGTTTTCCCTTCACTTTCTCTCTCCTTCCCCGGTGAGAGGGACTGCAATGCAAGTCTGCGCGTGTTGCCAGATTTGTCAGACTCGCTCTTTCCTTGGAGGGTAAAATACCGGTAGACTCGGATAGAAGCAATACGAAATGAAATGCAAGAGAAAAGAAAGAGGGTAAGCAGGAACGACCGAGGGTAAATCGCAAACTCCATGCAGGTGCAGTGCGAGTGCGGCTTCCGCTCTTTCTCTCTCAATTATCCCACCCGGCTGCTTGCTTGCTCAGTTGGGATTTCGGGAAGAGGAAGGAACACACTGGTGACTGGACAGTGAAAGGTCTCGAATCTCGATCGGTGGGCCCAGGTCAGATACCCATCACGTGGGTCCATGTGAGGAGGTGCTCCCATTGGCTGTACGGGTGTTGCCAGCCAATGGGAGGTGTTCGGAGCACGCTCCTGATATTGGGTGGGTTCTGGGTACACCCCTCCACCGATGGCAGCATGGGAAAGTGAAAAAGGGAGAAGGTAAGGTCGATCTGTGATGTGGAAAGCGAAACCGATTTGGTAGGACCTGATAACTGCGACGGAGGCAGGAACAATGGCAGTTGGGAGGGAAAACACGATGGAAAGTGCCAAAAACACCATCACCAAAAAAGGGTCCTGACGAAGGAAAAAAACAAGAACCATAAACCACAGCACAGTCTGACGGATACGGAGACCAGAGACAAAAAATCACAAAGGAGGGGGAAGAAATGAGACGGAGCAATCAGACCAGCAAAAAGGGCCAACGCACTCCGACAGAATTCACCGTCAATCTGCATCAAATCGGGCATCAAACCCGTCAGCGGCTGTCCCGTGCGGGTTGAACCATGCCATTGACCACCCTCCAAGGCACACCAAGAGACACCAAGGGGCACCAAGGGCCCCAGAGTTTGCGGACGACGCTCCGTACCCTCCGAGCTAAGGTATGCTGCTAGTCTCAAAGTGGAATCACCAGTCAGCGATCTTGAGCACAATGTTGCATAATTCAACCGCCGCTTTGCATTACACCTCAATCTGTCCTTTTATACATCGGCACCTGCCGCCGGCGCTGGACCTGAGACCCCTCTCTTGCGTCAGACGGCTTGGACTAGCCCATATAACACGAGTCATTCAGCTGGACTCGGCGTTGCTGCGACTTGGAATTGCCGTATTGTCCCCTTGACGCGACATTCTTGACCGAGTATACCTAGTCTCTACTAAGTATCCGTCTTCTTACCGATAGACAAGACGCTGATACACACTGACAAGCTAGAGAAAGCATCCATCTCCCTCGAAGGCTCTCCACACCAAGGGCGAGATATACCGAGACATTCAGACACACCAAAGACGCCCGCTAAGATTACTCATCGACTTCACTCGACGACCGTATTCAACACATCGTAACCACTCTCCGCCAGCCATTCCTTCACCAGACTATCCGTGTACTGGTCAGGCGTGGCCACGTCAAAAAGAAAAGCCAGAGGATCGCCCTGGCCATCGCCATCTGTTGTCTGCCCTTGACCCATCATTCTGTCCGCGTCCGCAGTCCCACCTTGTTGATACGACTGGTGCTGGTTTTGTTGCTGTTGGTCATTTGTGTTCGGGATACCAACGGTAACTCCCGTAGCGGCGGCGGCTGCTGCTGCTGCGTTTGCCGTTGGTCCAGAAATGGTGCCCTCGACCCCGCTGAGTCCACCCCAATGCTGCAACAGTGAGACATCTTCACACTGGTACCACTCTCTCGCCAAGAGCCGCGCCGCTCGCAAGGCCCTGTTGCTCCACGCGCACCACGCTGTCCGCAAGTCTCGCAGAGCATCAACGCACGTCTGTAAGTGCCGTATCGCCTGCTGCCGGTTGGGGTTCGATGGCCGGGCATCAATTAGGTGGATTACCACGGCCGAGAAGCACAGGTGGACCGCAGCAATGGGGATACGCCGCTGTTCAAAGTATGAGATGTGAACCAATCCTCGGTAGGGGGACAAATCCGTAAACGAGAGGGGAGAAAGCGCTTACCAGCGTGTATTGCTGCTTATAGATGCGCAGCAACCTCGAAATCTCAGCCGCCGAGTGGCGGCACGTTGCCATGTGCTGGTTGTCGTATCCATCTCCATCGATGCTGCCGTCATCGGTTGGCGTATTTACGCTGACCGAACGTCTCTTTCGCTTATGAACGAGCGGTCTATGTAAGAGGATTAAGTGTGCATGATATTGAATGCTGCAATGCAATCATTGGTTAGTCATCGCCCATTGACCTGCTCACTTACTTTTTCAGAGAGAAGGGGTGCATCGCAATGCTATCACAGAACGTACTGGAAGAGGCAAACGTGAGGAAGCATCGGGACCTTTGGCGAGGCCGGCAAGCGAAGGTAGCTCGGCAGCTCTCTGTAGTGCGTCCGTAACTGCACGTCAGTTTTGCTAACGACGTCTTCAATTTCTCGTGTCGACAGTTTGCTGTTAGCGGCGTATCTAAAAGAGACAATGCGTTAGAAGAGTTCGCAAATCAGAATGAGCGTGAGGCTAGGGCCAACATACATTATGTCCATTGATTCGCAAGCAATGGTAAACGTCTCTGACACATGACAAGCTGTTGATGAGATGTGTGAATGGACCCCGAGAGACTTTTCGGAGCCCAGCGTGTCTGACGTCGGTAGCCATGGAGTGTACTCTTCGTTGCTGTCTATGCTGGGTTTTGGGCAGGAAATGGTGGACTTTGGCGTGCTACTTGGCCGGCCCAGCCCAGTTGAAAAGAGCCTTGGGATATGTCAGCTAGCTGCTCTATCACAATCTCATGTGAGATGGAACATTCCAAGTGAGAATAGGAAGAAGCGAAAACAAAAGCAGACTGCTCACTTATCGACGACATAACATCCCCACCACGTCACTTTCCGCGCTTCAGCCTCTTCTTCGGTGAGCAGACCGGCAGTGGCCCATTTGGAACAATCGAGATGAAGCCCAAGGTTATGCGCCATTCTCGTTGCGTTTCCTTGCACTCATTAGTAGGTTACCCTCACGAGGATTAGATGCATAAACATATGACATACCAGAGTACAGCCACCCCAAAGCCTCCTTGCCATCCGACATGATCCTCAGCGCAAGAAGACAGGCGGCCTGCACCGTCGTAATCGTCGGCGCCTCACTCTCATACAAGAGCAGAATCTTGGCGTGCTCGCCAAACGCATCTCCAGCGGTACTAGGATCATCCGGCACGGACCGCAGCTCAGGACGATCAGAATACCGCGCCGCAATAGCAAAGATGGAACACAGCAACAATGGCGAACAATACGTCCCGTCATCCTCGCCGCGGTAGCTCCGCAAAAAGGCGCTCTTGTGAATGACGTAGTTCCACGGGTTCTGCCAGCGCCAATAGAGCTCGAGGAGGTGGGCTTGCAGTTCGTCCGGGACGGTGACCATCTTACCTAGCTGCGCGGCGGCGAGGAGGCCCTGACGCTGCATCTTGAGGGAGGGCTCGCGCGGGTCCGCGGCTGAGTCGCGCGGTTGTTCGCGGACGAGGTTGTAGGAGGACTGGGAGCCGAAGTAGTGCAGCTGGCCGTCCTCGATCACGTTGAGGCGGCCGACGAGGCCGGTGAGGTCCGAGAGGGGACCGCCTCCGTCATCGTCGTCGTCGCCGGCGCTGTCGTCTTGCGGGTCGTGGTCCTCGGTAGTCTCGGCGGCGAGGTCGCCGGAGGCCGGCTGGGAGCCTAGGGAGACGACTTGGGCTTCTAGATGTCGGATCCGGGCTTGCAGGGATTCTACGTATTTCTTGCTGGGTGGTCTGGGGACGGTGACACACGGCCGTGGCTGTCAGCGGCAGCAAGCACGAACCGGTCGTGATGAGATCCACATCTTTGTGGGACTCGCGGGTAGACCGGAGAAGGGGGGGGGGGGTTGGAGCTTGGGGCTTGGAGCCTTTGGAAAGGGGAGGGGGGAGGGGGAGGGAGAGAGAAGGGGGGAGGCCCTTAGTTCACGACTTACCGGCGTTTATTGTCTGCGTGCTGAAACTCACACTCGGTGCCTCTCCTCGTACAAGAGCCACAGATGGGCTGCTGTCCATCGCACTGGCGGGGTTTCTGGTGTCACTACAAGGAAGAATGGCGAAAGGGAAGTGTTGGGAGGTAGGCTATGAATGGGGAAACGACTTACTCGCATGCGTCTCTGCCGGCACGCGAGGCAGGCGATAGAGACCCGCTGTCTCTTTTTGCCTTCGGGCTGCCGTTGGGGAAGAGAGGTCGACATGGCTCAGGTGAGTATCAAAAGCCCGTATAGTCGGTACACGCGGGCATGTTCTGGAGGGGGGGGAGTACTGTGTATGAGAGCAAGGAAAGCAAATAAGCGCAAATATGGGCCCAGTCGGCTAGATTTTACTCGGTTGACAGAAAAGGCATTTTCCATCCAGCAAGTCAGTTGTGGATGTGTGTTTCTGACAGGTCCCGACGATATGGTAGAGACCGCAGTTTCAATATAATTCAACTACCGATGGGATGGATCATGGAGGAGGGGAAGGGAGCCAACGACGCGCTTCAGTTATGAAAAGAAAAGAAAAAAGGGAGAGGGAAAACCCCGCACTTCCCCAATCAACGCACGCTCAGTTATCGAAAAAGCTCCGCCCAATCCACCCGTCTGCTTCTACTAGACCAAACTCTAAAACACAAAGGGGAATGGAGGGGGGGGGGGGGGAGCATCAGCTGAGACTCTAAGCTGAGGTATTAGGAGGGGAATTATTTTGAGAGAGAGAATGAAGATAATTACTAACTAAGCGAAGTCACAACTAATTATATGCCGCTCAACTTCCTCTACTCTCTACTTGACAACAAAAGACACTCATCCGACAAGTTCGCCAACGGATATATCTCTTCCTGGGAATTCTTCATCATCCGTCACTACTAACTAGAAACAGCCTCTGATCTCATCATTGCTTCATCCTCATATCCTCCTCTCAAGGGTCGGCCACGTAGTGAACGGGACGCGCAGGGTACTTGTTCACCCGCAGACTCAGCTGGTCAGGACGGCAGTAGTGTCCGACAATATCGAGGTTCTGCTTCGCTTTGGCTTTCTCCGCGAGGTCGACATCAGCATACAAGATGCACTCCTCCCCAGGCGGCGGGCGCTTCACCAGTTCCTCGCCAAAGGGGGAGTAAATCATGCTGAAGCCGCCACCCGCGCCGACCGAGTTTGTCGCGTACCCAAACTCGTCGATGCGGCACCGCTTCTTGGACTCCTCGCTGACGACCTGCGTGCAGACCATGACGAAGCACGCACCCTCGAGCGCCACCACCTGCGAGAAGCGCATGCTCATCTCGTCCGTGATGTGGTGAGGCCAGTCGGCTTGTCTGACGCCGTCCTTGTCGGTCGGGTGAGGCCAGAGGACGGGCCAGCTGGAGACGTGCAGGTCGACGTCCTGCTCGTACTCGTAGTAGCGCAGGAGCGTCTGCGTGTGCTCCCAGCAGTTGAGCCCACCGATCTTGACCGAGGGGTGGAGCGTGCTAGGCGCGACGGTCTGCAGGGACTCGCCTTGGCCGTCGCCCCAGTAGGCGCGCTCGACGTGGGTCGGCTTGATCTTGCGGCGGTGGTGCACGATGACGCCGTTCTCATCGATGAAGGACTGTTTTGAGATGTGAGAAAGCGTTCTCATTGAGAAAAAGAGAGGTGAGAAGGAAGAGGCAAGTGCCTTACCTGGGCAATGTACAAGGTGTTCTTGAATCTCTCGCTGTATCCGAGAACGACAAACACACCGGCCTCCTTGACGGCGGCGCAGATGCGCTTCATCTCGTCAGAGTCCTTGACGAGCGAGTTGCGGAAGTACTCGTCCATGAAGGCGGCATTATCGGTGGGGGACTTGGCCCAGATGCTCCTTTCGACGGTAAGAAATTAGCCAAACCATTGACGCGGAGAGCGAAACGAAAGGATCCGTCGCGGACGAGAAAAATGGGGAGGATGTGTGTGTCTCAATTCTCACTCACCATGGGTATCCGGGAATGAAGACCTCAGGGAAGCCGACGACATTGGCGCCCTTGCTGGCAGCCTCCTCGATGAGAGCGATGGACTTGGTAACACCGCCCTCGAGGTCGTTCCAGGCGGGCTCGGCTTGGATGGCCGCGATCTTGAGCTTGGGAGCCATTTCTGTGAGATATCCGGAGTGTATTTTAAGGTAAGAGTGATTGGGTATTGAGGGTTTATGAGGTGAAATGAGAGAGACTGTTGAAGTGCTGGATGATATTCATCTGAACTCGACTTCATTCACGGGCAGATTCTCTCTCTTTTGTAGCTCAAAAGCGAGGCTATTCTTTTCCGCCTGCTCCAACAAACATATCTAGATGAGGGGTTCTCCTGTGCCGCATCGCGAGCGGCTCAGCAATATCCTATCCAACACATCTAGAGATCGTCTGTTTACTGCTAAAAAGGACATCGCAAACTATCCCAGCCTAAGGGCCCTTCTATCTCCTACAAGTTACATATTCCCCAGATTTCCCCAACGGTTAAGCAATACCCTATCCGCATCGTTGGTCCCTCCGTCTGATGTCGTGTCACTTCCCGAGCTGAGCCACTAGCGCGTTATCAATGAAATCCGGGGTAATTCGGTGAGGGAGAGGGGTTGAAGCCTGCAGACAAGAGTAATGCACGCGATCCGCGTGGTGGGGTTAGCTTCACCGGTTGAGCACTATCCTATCTAGTGCATCCATGATTAGCTTGGTATTATCGATTATGCCGTTGGTTGGAATTGGGAGTAATGCGCCCGAACCATCTTTGTAAACATGAAGGTTTCACTTCTTCTCGTCGGATCCCTGAATTGTATGACCTCACTGCCCGTCTGTTCCGTCCCAATTACGTGCACATTATCTGATATCCTCACTAGTGGTGTTCACACCATAACTTCGTTTGAATCGTTTCTAGAATAGCTTGACAAGTGTTTTGGCAACTAATCCGACAAGATGAGATTGCGGAATATTCAAGCCCGCAATGATTATAGGATGAACGTCATCTATATCCTCCAGACGTAACCCTGGGTCTTCAAAAGAGAACCGCCATATTGTTGACTTGTCCCCCCACACTACTATCTCAACCCTTCACCGAAACACACAGTCGCCGCCATGGAACTCGAATCCGCAATCCCAGAATGGCTCCGCAAAGAGCGCACCGTGCCTGCAAGGACACCACCCGGCTTCACGCCCCCCTTCGAGCTCTACAGTTCGCGCTTTCCCAAGACCATTAAAGACATAGTCATGGCCATCATCGGCGCCCAGTACGCATCCGCAGACCTCAACGACGGTGGGGCCCTGAAAACGATAGCCTCCTTCACGACCTCCGATCGAGTCGCCCCGGCGTCACGCCCGGCCTTTCACGAAGCCGCGGCTGTGGTAGATAATCGGGGGTTCTACAACGTTGCAGTGTTTGCGTACTGGCCGAGCAAGACCGCGTATGAGGAGTGGTCTACCGAGAGCGGTTTCCGGACATGGTGGAGTGAGGCGAAGCCCGGGGACCAGCCGCGGCATGGATGGTTCTTGGAGGTGTTTCTCCCGACGGCCGACCGGTTCGAGACTGTGTTCTCGACGGCCGTGCCGGAGGGTGCGGCACACATGAGAGACAGTGTCAGTGGACCCATCAAGGAACACGTCTACTGGGGGAGCATGAGAGATCGCCTGCCCGTATCCCAGACAGACGAACTTCTCGGAGATCCGGAAGAAGAAAGCAAGCAGAAGGCCAACGGATCAACGTCACAAAACGGCGAAACCCATCTGCCGGAGAGGGTCCGCGTACAAGGCAAGAAGAACCTCACTGTCATCCGCTCGGGACAGGACTGGTCCGCAGCGCTCCCCGAAGAGCGGCAAATCTACCTCGATGCGATGCAGCCCCCGCTGATCAGGGGCATGGAATACCTCCGCGATCATGGCGACGAGGTTGGCTGCTTCAGCTGCCGCTTCATGGAGATCGTCGACCCCGTGACGGCCAAGGGCGGGCATGATCGGACTTTCGGGCTGGCGTACTTTGACAACCTCGCCTCGCTGGAGCGCTGGAGTAAAGAGCACAGAACGCACCTGGCCATCTTTGGCGAGTTCGCAAAGTATGCCAAGAGGTTGGGGGATCAGATGTCCTTGGCATTATTCCATGAGGTTCTGGTTCTGGAGCCTGAGCAGCAGGTCTTCGAGTACATTGGGTGTCATGATGGGACGGGGATGCTGAGTTCTTTGCAATGATTGGTTATAATTAAATGAGTACTTCATTGGACACGTTCTGTACTCAACGTGGGGGAGTGATGAACGTTTTTTCCTTGGCTAGCACTCGCCTTCTGTCCCTGATTTCCTTGGTCATGAAGGTGATACGCAGTCAGTCATTGTGTCCAATCGCAAAACTACCTTACATCGTTACCCAAACGCTCTTGCCCGTTTCCAAACTCTTGATATATCAACTGGCTCATAGTGAACCAAAGAACACATTCCTCAACTAGGTATCCTTCACTGGGTCGGCGATAAAGCCATTATCAACCCACGCAGTACCATCAATACCATAAACCGTCACCCTACATTCGCCCGAAGTCATGCCATTCATCCTATTCGTATTCGTACAGAAGTAGATGAGCTTAGTCAAGGCCTCGCCCAATCGTGGAAATGTTCCTTGTCTGATATTTGCCCTCTGCGCGGGGCCTATTCGGTGGCCGATGCAGCACTTGCCTTTCTCGTGATCAAGGCAGTACCGACGCGGCTTCTTCTTTGTCGTGTAGCGTGCCAGAGCAGGCTGAACTTCCCATAGGAGGATCTTGCATACTTCGACCGGTGCGAGATTCGACTCGTCGCACCTGTAAGGTCTTTTGACATCGTCGAAGTCTGCTTGTTCTGGCGAAATGCCTGGCTCGAGCTCTTGTCGGCGTCCTATGTGGGAAACCGCGGTGTCTTTCTCGAGGCTTGCGTCATCTTTGGTGGTTGGCGTGATGTAAATGAATTGGGCTTCAGCGTCGTCGGATTCCTGGTCCCAAATGGTGAATTTGCCCTGCTCTTTGGACCATTCTTCTGTGAGAGCCCAGCGTGAGTCCATTTTCTTTCCTCGACGAGAGTCTCTCTTGGCAGCTGTGACGTGAATATTTATGTGGTGTGGCTGATCTACCTCTTATAAGCTTCTCTTCCTACGGCCACATCTACATTTCTTGCACCGCATACTGGAGAATGAGTCCTATATTGTATGAAGATTTGTATGTACTCACCCTGTATTGATATTCCGTGATGGGTAATGTTGATGTAAACGGA